ATAGAACTTGAGTTTGAAAACTTTCGAGGCGAAAATAGTGGATCTATACATCGATGACTTGGCCGATTGTGGTGAAAACTGTGTTTTTTCGGCAAAAAAGGCATATTTCTGCAAAAAACTGGAATTTTGAAATAAAAATCCGTGAATCTATAGAGTTTTTTGTTGCGCGTTGAATGTCGAAACAATTAAGTCGCTATCTATTACAGAAAAAAACTTGATTCGATTGCCGTGGACGTGGGTGAGCAGTGTCTATCCCCTGAACCCCGAGGAATTTTGGGCGATTTTTGCACTCACCAAAATTGTAAAAAGCGCTTCAGCAGATACAGTTTTTTACCGCAGGTAAGAATAATTGACTTTGAAGGTTCTGTAGTGCGACCAGGCTAGGCTATAAAGCCGTTTTCCAAAACAACGTTTTTTGCCTAAAAATCGCGGTTTTTTCGAATTTTTATGTTTTCTCAGGGAAAACGCAAAGTAATCAAATTTTAAAGGTGATATTCGTGATCAGCGCCAAATTCTGCGTCGAGTGATGTATCTTACAAATGAATTCAAAAATAGTGCTTGATCTTTGAATTTGGAGCGCCTTACTAGAAAACAATATGAACTTGAAGTAAGGGAAGGCAAAGGAAAGGAGAATTTGCCCCGTTGAAAATACCAACGAGGACATGATAAACGAACGTCACGACTACGTGGGTACAGGACGAAAAGATCTGTCTCTCTTCCCAGTGTAGCGACATCATCCTGTGACGTAATCATTGTTGATAAGTGGCACAGTGCACTTAGTTGAAGGGCTCTCTACTGATATCGAACGGTCGTTCAAATGATTAAACCCAATGGCTAAAATCTTTGAAGTTCAAAATGTATAACATCCGCCTTGAAGGGTAGGTAAAGCAAGGAAAATCGTAAGGAAAGTTGATTGATTTTTCTCAAATGAAGCTCGATTGGGAAAAACGAAACACACCATGAGCATCAGCTCGCCGAGCTCTACAAACTGGTACATATCCCGTTCAAAACTGAGACTCACACTTGGGGACCTTCCCTCGTAAGTTGCTTTTTGCTCTGATCCTCTTGATCAGCCTTATGGTCCTGCTCCCTTTTCCACCAAGTCATCTACATTCTTTTCGCTATAGTGCGAAGGAATATGATTTAAACCCGGTGAACCGCGTTAGATTACAACGCATTTAGCAGCACACGAAATCCTTCCAAACGCCTTCATTTCTAACGCGTTTAGATTCTCTGTATTTAAACGCATTTATCACCGATTAACGCGTCCAAAGGCGTTTCAGTTTTAAGAAAACGCGTTTTTAGTGCAAAAACCTGCCTTTGGTCTAAAAAAAATCTCTACCTGGGTCAATGTGAAATTTTTCGTGTTCTAATTGCGATGAACGACTCTATATCTTTTGCGAATAGGCATATCTCTATTTATGTTAGTTCTAATAACTCATTTCTTTCTCATCTTTCTTTCGTTCATCTGATCATTCAAATATGACGCATATGTCGCAGTTGAAATTAAAATTTCATTTTCTACTAGGAGAAATTAAAATAAGCGGCGATTTTAAGTTGAACTAGTAGAAATTGAAATTTTAATCTCTACTATAGGAGAATTTTAAATTAGAAAGTTTAGATAACGGAAGTATTTTAATTTCTCCTGTAGTAGAAATTAAAATACACATTTAGACGGATGATGATATGTACAAGCACATGCATTATTTATTAGTAAAGGAGACAACAGCACAGGAATGAGGAAGAAAGGAATAGGTCATACCAGCTATTGGCTTTGGAAATGCTCTGCGATCCCAACATACATCACATTGTGAAAGAAAAATAACTACCACATCAAATGGAATCCAACAATATTGCTGTTTCACCTTAATTTTAAAGAAAATTATAATTTTCGCTCTGGATTCGAGTACAGAATACTACCGCTTTCCACGTTTTATCGCGATCATGATGTCCTACTCTTTCATGACATTCTTTAATTGTCGTGTATAATTGTTCATATGTGATCACCGGATTATTTGATTTAATACCATAAACAACTTGTAATTCACCAATAGTAACTAATTTAAAATGCTTACGAGCCCACAATTTAAGTTGAGCTTCACCCCAACCATCTTTTAATACCAATATGATATCATTATAAATAGCTTGTGTGATAACAAATTTTGAACGAAATTTGTCGCTTAAAGATTCAATATGTTCATCAAGTTTCAAATAAAATAGCTCCATTTCATAGTATTTTATATTATCTTTTTTCTTTGATTGTATTACGAGAAGTTTAGGTTAAACATTAAAACTCTTTTTACTTTCTTTCTTTTCTTTCTACATATCATCCGTCTAAATCTGTATTTTAATTTCTACTACAGGAGAAATTAAAATACTTCCGTTATCTAAACTTTCTAATTTAAAATTCTCCTATAGTAGAGATTAAAATTTCAATTTCTACTAGTGCCACTTAAAATCGCCGCTTATTTTAATTTCTCCTAGTAGAAAATGAAATTTTAATTTCAACTAGTAGAATTTTAAATTCTACTGAATTTTAATTTCTACTGCGACACATATATCGCTTTACATAGACAAAAAAGAAATAGAATGATAAAAGTAGTTATACTAGTCTAGTGACTAACTGCAGAGTATGAGCTTTTAATAAGAACAGCAAATAATTTAAAGTATAATAAAACGGATAACTGAGTGGGTGACATTTTAATTCACTTAATATATTTTCTCAGTTTGATAATGTCAAATGTTTAAGATTATTATTTATCAACAATGTGTCTGATGTGTCTCTATTTTTCGAAAGATCCTATTCAAAATATTTTCCTAATTTATACGAATTAGCGATTGAACTGAGTACATGTTTAATTTATTGCCTAAATGTGGAAAATTATAACAATGAACTCCAGAAAGTTTCATCGCCTTTTCGGGAACATATATTATTTAAGAGAAAGAAGACGTCATTAAAAAAATGCAGTTGCACTTTGCACAGGCTGGGTTTGCTACTGAAATCGAGTGAAGTATTGACGAAAAACGATCATATTCAACGTTTAACAATTGGTCTTAGCCGTGATAGTGATATTATAATTATATTTGATCATTTTCCATCCTTACAGTATTTGGATATTTCCACGGACAAACCATTTATGGATATTGATGTTGATGAAGATATAGTTAATGGGACATATGATTTCGACGTAAGTTTTCTTCTTACTACTAATCATCATCAACTTGTTGATATATTTTGTCTACCTACAACCAATGAATTTCTCATGGAAATTGCAGAAGGAAAAAGTCAGCTAATAAGAGATAACAAGAATTAGACCAAAGCTGTCATCCTGTTTTTGGCAAAGTAAAGATGACATTATACCTTTTCAGAAGATTAGTTTTTCATTCGAACTTATATAAGTTATAGTTCAGACCATATATTCATATCTGCGATGACAAGGTTTTATGTTCCATTTAGAGTCTACCATTGAAATTACCACAATTAAGAGATTTTACTTTAAAAACTTACGGTGGTTCAAATATTGACTATAAAATATTTGAGAAGATTATTAAAAATCTCATATATTTAAACAGATTAAGTATTTTTTAATTTATATAGGCCAAATGTATCCTATGATGATCAGCACGATTACTCGAATGTCAAAAACTTAGAAGTTTGTTGGTCATGTCCTCATGTCACATCCTTCACTTACATTTCTCAATTTCTAATAAGAAACTTCCCAAATGTGAATAGGCTTACTATTGGTGATAAATGTAAAAATGTTCAAAGAGGTAAATCGTTTTCCGTGAATTCAACACTAAAGTGTGTCAAAAGGTTATATATCGCACAAGACATATTGTACTTTGATCAAATCTTACTATTAACGACGAATCTACAACATTTATTCATTGATGCTAAATATTTTCACATCGATATCAAAGATACTGCTTCACTTGGCATAATAAGAAACACATTGAACAACGTTATCCAATTGAATTTGTTTGGTGTTCATCGATTAGTAGATGTGAACAATCTTCTAACAAAATACTTTCAAAATATCCACGCTTTAACGATCGAGATAGACGTGGACTTAGAGAATTCTTCAAGCGATGAATGTATTCGATTGTTTTGTCAAACTATAATGAAAATGAAAAAATTATACACTATTCAGTTTTTTCTGTACGATAACACAGATCTTTTACTGGCCATGTACAAAATATTTGCTGAGGGTATTCGGTAGTCCGTCTAGTTATAGTTTTAAATATCGGAGTACCAAAGCGATTCTTTATAGATTTTCTCCGCACACGATTTTTGAACAAAATTTCTCCTGCAAAAGAATGTTCTCCAATCTCCTCGTTTCATCAGCAAACACCTTACTTCAGTACCTTTATTCCTTCAAAGGTTAATTAAAAGTCGCATAGTATAATAGTTTTTGAATGGATAGTTTCACTTACAGTCGAGACTCATTCATTGAACCTATCACAAATCAGACAATTATATAATAAAATTAAATTTCACCGACATGAAATAACGTTTTAAGGAGTCGGTAGCCTTTATTTCAAAAATACAGGCCTGCGGAGGTATTTACAATCGAGCGGATGACACGGAGTCTTTTGTCCATCTTTAATTAAAAAGAACAAAATAGAAGTACAACGATACAAAAGACAGATTTATAGGCGGAAAGATCTTGAAAATTGATCCACTCTAATTCGTCAAATGTTATTATGAGGGAAACTCGTAATGAAATATAGTTTTGGAGAGAATTAAGTTGAGCAAAAGCTTCAGTTAGAGAAGTTTAGTTTTCAGCTATTTCTAGTCCACATGATACATGTGAATATAGGCTAATAGAGCCCGATTTCTTATATTCTGTGTTGTGAATATAAGCGTTGAAACCTCAGAACTTCCAAAAACTGCATGTTAAATTTTTTAGGAAAACAAAATCTCATCTGAAAATCGAGCTCTTTCGTCACATGTATTAGCCTCAGCCTGAGGCGAACCCGATTTCTCCAGCTGTTGATTT